TGTGTTTTATGGGAAAATGAGATTGAGATGCTAGTGTTTCTGCTGGCACTACTATGGAATGGAGATATAGGTTTGCTGTTTCTAATAAGGAAAGCCACTTTCATTCATTATCTCTGTGAACAGAGGTCAGTGGTACAGATAATTCCAAATAGTGAGCAAAAAAATCGTTTTGCTTTTGCTTTCTAATGCCCTCTCAATATTCATTTGCATATAATTGGGTCTGTCAAGCTGGAAATTCATAATTTTAAATAAAAATAATGAAGCCACAGTCTGAAAATTCTCCAGTTTTCTTTCCCTGCCACATTTCTGTTTTCCTGTAGTCTATAGAAAACAGCATCTTTCAACATGGTTTGATTTTAACTGCTTTGTCTTTAAATTGTTACATATTCTTTGATCTCTTCAGTAGAGGTGAAGTTGGCAAACATTTTGGTTTAAAAGGCCTTTTCTTGGTAACTGAACCTAAATGGACACCAGGAAGAGCCTCAAAATCCCTAGACGCAAGTGCATGCAGAGCAAACACAGAAGAGAGGCGAAGGGTTTGGGGAATGTTTAAGGATAATGCATTGTTGGACAGCAAAGAATTAACAGAATTTACAAGTGGAAAATTTCTAAAAGAGTAAGAATTGTTGTTTCATTTTGGCCAGATTAAACTTTAGAGTTTTAGAAAAGAATTTTAAAACCATCTGTGGTTTCCATGTAATCTTTCCTTTGCTGAATGTAGTCTGAATGGAGTGGTATTTCTACTCTTTGCTGGTTTGGGATGAGTTTTCTGACCAAGCTGGGCACTTGAAGCCCATCTAGAACCCTGAATCAGAAGAACTGAGAGGCTGGGAAAGCTTGTTGCGGCCCAATTAGAGGACAGCCTGCGAGAGGGTAAGCTCTACCTTTGCTGATCCTGTTGATTGTCTCCCCTGTGGATTGAAGACAAACCTTCCTTAACAAGCACATTGAGTAGCTTGGGTTTCCAAAACTCTCCAGGACCAGTAATTAATCCAACTGGTAATGAGATCACAGTGCTGAATTCTGGAAAGGAATCATTTAACTCTTTCTCTGCTGGACAGCTCATTTCCCTTATTAGTCCCTTTAGCCTTAGCACTGTTTACTTAGGACAGTATGAAGATAGTCTGGTGGGAAATTGCTTTTTTTCAGTGAAGTCAGATTATCTCTTGGCAATTCATCCTTCATCCCCAAAATATACGGACTTGAAATGTGAACTTTTATAGTAAAAGGTACTTTTTACCTCTTATTTTGATATAGGAATAAATGATATACAGTTGACAATTAGTATTTTAAAAAGCTGAGATCTGCCTCTGAGTAAGATAGTCTGGTGGGAAATTGCTTTTTTTCAGTGAAGTCAGATTATCTCTTGGCAATTCATCCTTCATCCCCAAAATATACGGACTTGAAATGTGAACTTTTATAGTAAAAGGTACTTTTTACCTCTTATTTTGATATAGGAATAAATGATATACAGTTGACAATTAGTATTTTAAAAAGCTAAGATCTGCCTCTGGAACTTATATACCAGCACTTAATTTTACTCTGATTCCATGTGTTAACTTAATGGGGTCTTTGCCTATGGAAGTAACCTTCTCTTTGTGTTGCTTCTATTTCTTGAGGCTCTCATATTAGCCCCTATCTCCTTCTTAAGAGTTTGAAACATTTCCCATCCAAAGATTTCTGCCACATAAAACATCTTTGAGGGGGTTTCCTAGCTGTCACTTTTTTCTAATTAGGGTTACACTTGAGTCCCGTTTTCTGGTGAGTTCCATTAGTAATATGCTTGTACACCCTTTTTTAATGCTCAAAGTTCCAGCAGAACAGACCACCTAAATTACCGATGCATGGGGCGGTTGGTAATGGTTTGCTTCCTCAAGGCGAGGAATTGGCCTAGGTGGTCATTTTCTTCCTTCTTGATTCTAGCATTATTTCTCAGCCTTAACCATGATTACACAGATACATATCAACTCATTATTTTGGCTCTTTCTGCATTTTTCTGCTATACCCATCTTGAAAAACAGGCTAAATGTCTTTGTGTATATCACAGTGTGTTTAGTATTAGAAAACAATTTTTAGAAAGTTGGCTGTTTCTTTGAAATTGAAAAGATGGCTGATGACTGAAGTAATAATAAAAATGCTGTTAATTCAGCACCACTGTGTACTACCAGCAATCTCTGATCCTCTCAATTGACAAAATATATTTGCCATTATCATTACTATTTTGCAGTTGAGAAAATTAAGATTCAGAGAGGGTTGAGGTTCATAGCCAACCCTTTGAGTCTAGAGCTCGCGTTTTTATTGATGTATCCAAAAAGCTGATTAAAGAAGTAGTCAAGATGTATTTCACAAAGAATGTAGAATTGCTGGGCATTAAGGAATGAGCAGTGGCCCTGGAATAGTAGCAT